AATGAAACTTAATTGTTCTGCAATGTCATTAGATGTTCTGTGAACGAAATGGAGCTGAAATACTTCGTTCGCAGAGCATTCTACTCTCTGTACTTTTGAGATGTACAATGATGTTATGGCATATGGGGCCCAGACAATCACTTTCAGAAGTTGTTGGGACACATGTAGTTTTAGCTTGTAAGTGGATCATTATAGTTTTTTACACACAATACCGCTCCCCTCCCCCTCCCCCCACCCCAATCAATGTTGTTTAAACCAAAACACATCAAACCCGACGAGAAATGGGACACAACATTGAACAGGGGGCGGGGGGATTGTCGTTTGTTGAAATTCAAAGGTTTTGTGGCATCTGTCCCAAGACTTTTGAAACTGATTGTAGGTGTGCTAAGAAACACACCTGTATTTTACACACCTTTTCGTACACACCTTTGATGCATATAAGGTGTGTTCAATAACACACCTTTTGAATGAAAACACACCTTGGTGTGTTTGAGAACACACCTCATACTAATTTACAAAAACACATCTTGGTGTGTTAGATAACACACCCTACACCGATTTTGGAAAACACGCGTGCACGGTGTGTACTGAAAAATGCTTTTTAGTAACATACAATAAATCCAATCATCAATCACGGTAATGTATGCTATAATATGTTTTTCGGATATATACAGTAGATGTAAATGGCGATATTGACTTTGCCGGCGATATCAAGTTTTACGTGTCTAATAACCGTTTGATATTTGTTGTGTAGTATTTTATTCCTTCCATGTAGTAAGAGCATTACTGGGACTACTTATTTTCTAAGAGATTAATCTGTCTTTAGCACACCATTAATCTGAAATATGGTAACTGGTCTTTTGAAGCTCTTCGGATCGAAAGAAACGAAAATTCTTACGATGAGCGCGATTTTACAGACTGGTGCCTAGTTTTCGTACTACGCGCGCAAAGCTTCCCGGGATAGCGTCATTTATTCACACCCACTGAGCTGTATAATAACTGGAGGACCTGCTCCTATACTTCGTTCAGTCAACGAAGTGTCCGCAAAAACATGGCGGATTTTGAGTGAAAATGACGCCATTTCCATGACTACTGGTCCCTAAATTCATGGTAATTGCCACTGAACAAGGCTCAAATATGAGCCCGCCACAGTTTTCACCCCCCCTGGTTTTTATAAAAATATTTCGGCTTTTTGCAGTGAATACTTGTTGTTTTGATATTTTCGACATATTTTTTCGACTGTTGACCATTTGTTCAAAGGTGTGGAAGCCGTACACGTTCATTGTCGTCCGTGGAGCGTGAAAGACAACAAACAACTATTAAAACCTCGCGAAAGCCGAAATGTGGACAAAAACGATACTTCAAGCCAGAGCAAACATCCGTAATTATCAGACTATAAACAGGTATCTATAAATATTTCAAAATTCACATTACTATTTTAAATATTTCATGAAAAAATGTTAGGAATAAATGGTAGAATGTACTCTATTTTTTAGAAAACAAGCCACGAGTATTTATGTGGTTGTAGACGAACCTTTTTATAACTTTAAAATATAATAATTTCATCCCTCAATCCCAAGGAATTAATGGTTGTGCATGTATATGAATTTGACAAATATTTGACATGAAACTATGATGTGCTAGTATATTAAAGAGGGAAGTAAGGTTTTATATATAGATTTAGCCAAGGTCGGGTTTTGTCATGCATAACTGCTTGTGGTGAACTGGTGCAGGACAAAGCTCAGGCTGCTCAGCTGATTTGAGAAATTAATGCATGTTTTGCCCAAGTTTGTATGTTGTGTGCTCTCTGATAGTTTGTTGTATGTATCTTTAAAAGGCCATGCATTAACTTGTTTGTCCCATCCCTATGAGTATTGGGTTAATTGACTCAAATGCTGGCATATTTTTGGTGTCCCTGAGGTAAGGGTTGTTAATGCGACAGCTAGGCCAGTAAGTCCAGTAAGCAAAACCTCACTGTGTGGTTATTTTTATAGTGGAAATTCCTTTCAAATTGTATGGACAACCTGACTGGCTCAGTTTTCAGATCTCACCTGAACAAGGCAAGCTCTCAGTTACACTGGGAAGGCGGGAACACTAACTGGACTACCTTGGTCAAAATAAAGTCAAAACAACATCGGTCATGAAAATATTGTCAAAACAATAGAATTGTGTCGGCAAAGAAATAATAAATTATTCTCCCAACTAGGCCAACCTGGCTTCCATATTGATAGCCCCTATGGCGCTCTAATCTATTCTGAGCCTCCTCCGCAGGCATGGGCGTACCGGGCAGGGGGCGAGGGGGGCTGCCCCAGTTTGTTGGGCAAACAAAGCCAGTCGGGCAATATTCGCTTCACAGTCGGGCAATATTGGCTTATTAAATGGGACAAATTCTGTTAAAATTATTTTGTGGGAAATATGCTATTTAATAGGAAATTTTCATAATCACTCAATACACCCCCCCCCCCCCCCATCAACAACACTTTTGGAAAGTTTCCCCGGGAAATTCTTTTTGACAACTTGGGCACAATCCGAAAAAGTCGAGCAAATTGCTTTCCGCCCCCCTAATTTTTCCCTTCTTGTATGCCCATTTTTCCCTTCCTGTTTGTGTTTTAGCCTGCAAATGGGTTCCCATCACTCGATTCCTCGGGTGAGATGCCTGCGGAGGAGGCTAGAGTTCATGCCCCTGTTGTTAGTGAAACTCCATACCAAGAAACATGTATTGCAGTAATGTTTCAAAATTAATTGAAGACAAAAATTTGCTTGATTTTGTATATTATTTATTTTAATTAAAATTGCTAATTTCATAATTATTCTTTGACCATGCAGTGAATAATTTTAAAATATATAATACAGTATTATTAAAACTAGAGCTCATGCATTATTTTTTGGCTGTAATTGTACAGAGAAAATATAACACATTCCCACAAAATTATAGAGAAAAGTTATTGTTAGTTCTGCCAGTTAGGTCTGGCTTGTATTAATTTCTTGTCCACATGACTTACATGTCATCAGTTTCGCCCTAAATGAGAAATGTCCATTATACATATAAAATAGTGACAGTATCATATGAAGACACTGAAGATGTATTGGGTCACAGATCCCAGACTCCGATTACAAGGAAATTTACTGTAGAGCAGAGCCCAAACTGTTCACTTAGACATTATTGACATGTTAACGCATGGTTCTCCAGTCGACAACTGTCTGGTGTTAGACAGAGTAAAATAATAAAGTAGGGTCCATTAGGGCACAATGCAACCTAATGGTTAATTAATATCATGGTATGTTAAATAAATTGACTCACTCTGTAATTTTTCACATATATTAGGTTCTGGCATTTATAAGCCCGTCTAATATGCCAGGAAATTTTACTTGTCAAGACGACAATTGTCCATTATAAATGGATTAATTGTATTTCTTAACTATCCCAAAGTTTCATTTTACATTAGAATATATCAAAAATAATCTATGCAGATCTAAGAGAGAAAGTTCATAAATAATGTCTAACTGAACAGTTGGGCTCTACTCCAATACTGGGAACACTCCCACTGAAGATGCTCTCAAACGTGTTATCAATCATCAATTGATTGGTTAATTGTCAGGGCACAATTTTGGTCAATGCCAAGGGCAGTGAATATGCATTGGCTGGCACGTGTACACCCTTCATTCCTACAAATACTTAACTACAACTCTAATGGCTGTGGGATTTATAGAACTCTGACAAACTATGTTGGTCAGATGAATACCATGTAAACCTCTGAATGCTTGTATGCATTCATTAGCATTTTTGATGGCTGAGCTGTTGGAATGGATCCCTTTGCTGCATTAAAAAATACCTGTCCAAAAATAAGTCCATGGGCTAACACAGAGGGACTTAAATTTGGGAGAGGGCTTATATTCAGAATTTCTTAGGGTGGCCGTTCTACACAGGGGGGCTTATATTTGGGGTCTGTCATTGGGGCTTATATATTCAGAGGTTTATGGTTATTGATTGATTGATTGCAATGGGTATTGAATCATTTGTCTTAAATGAATCGTTTGAACTTGATACAGTATCTTTGGCCTAGCAAAGCAATTTTTCAGTTTGCCTGTTGTAGAAGTGACATTTAATATAACTACACAGTATGAAATTATAAATAACTGCTACAAGAACCTGGCAAGGATATATATCACTCAAGTTTGTCAGGGAAAATTTGCTTTAATATACCGTACGTATCTCTAAACACTGAAGTCTGTAGTACTAAATCAATATAAGTGCACAGTCACAGAATAAAGACATACAGAAGTGTAACTTCCATTACAAAACCGTAAGGCCTTTTTTACCGAAATAGCTGGCGGCCATGTTCTTAGCAAGTGCCCTAAAGAGAGGCATTCACCCCCCTGGAATATTAAATTTTCAACATGTTTTCAGGGGGGTGACTGCCTCTCTTTAGGGCACTTGCTAAGAACATGGCGGACTGAAAAAATCCCTTACGCACTTTTAATAAGAAGATACACTTCTGTATGTCTTTATTCTATGGCACAGTAAGGATTTTAACACCATAAGCAGCCTTTAAAACCATATGAAAAAGCAGAGGCTAGTGGTAAATCACAACAACAATAAAATTACAGAATTCCCAACCATTTTTCGTACGGGGATTTGTATTTCTATCGAGTTTAATCAAGCAAGCTAGAATCTAGAAATATTCAAATATAAAAATCTTACCGGTGAATAAAAATATTCTTCTAGTTCTTGTTTGAAGAGTTCTCATACATACGAGCAGCGCAAAAAGGCAGTGTCCGTTGTAAATCAAGCAAACTGGGACAAAAATATCCAGATTTTCAATGAGATTTTTACCTCGAAAACAAAATTTTTGGGTGAAACCAGGGCACAACCAGGGGGGTGAAGTACATTGTCGAAAGCTTAGGATCGCGGTTGGGACAGTGGTAGTTGCCATGAATCTAGGGACCAGTAGTCATGGCAATGGCGTCAGATCCGCCATGTTTTTGCGGACACTCTTTTATCCCGAGCAGGTCCTCCAGTAATATAGTATAGCTCAGTGTTCACACCGCCATTACGCCATATTTTTCAAGCCTTCATTCTGAATTTATGGGTTCGAAAAATTCGCTTTTTTTAAGCGACGACGAATGATTTGAACGAAGAGGAAACAGCCGGGATGACTGAATAATGTTCAGGTAAGCATATTGTTATGTTATATGTATAATGGAGCAGTTTTGAAAGTAAATATTCGCTATCTTCATTCATGAATTTTGAGCATGTGTTCATGTTTAAAATTTGAATTTGCCGCGACAATATTTGAATTAAAAAGATGATATAAATACATTAGTTTTATAGAAGGCTTACATTTGACTTTATATTAAATTATGTTTATTGTATAAAGGGCAACTAATATTTGTGTATATGAATATAAGACAGATTGCCAGATAACAATGTTTCTGGTATAAAGTATAAATATAGCTAGGCATCTACTCAATCATACGCTCAACTACACATGTCCCAGCTAAACATGGTTTGAGAAAATGCAACCAGTTGTTTCAAATCAACTGCTACTTTCATAAGTTTCTAATTTTTATATATCTAGGTTTTTTATGTCCAAATTCTTCAATCAATGAAAAAATCTATTTCACTGTTAGAGGTGTTATGCACCAGTCATTGAAAACCTATACAACTCAGACTGTTGCTGATAAGTGGGGGTTAAGTGCCAGGAAAATTTTCTATGCTACCGTAAACCTCCAAATATAAGCCCCCCCTTGTATAAGCCCACCACCCCGTGTATAAGCCCACCACATGTACTGTACTAACTTAAGGCTCACCTCATTCCGAATATAAGCCCAGTAGCCCACTACGTTATTCAACATTGACATTGTCTTTTAATTAACCCATTAAGCTGAGGAGCTTTCCCATTGACAAGTAAAATCGTCTGGCGTTAGACAAGTAAAAAAATAAGTAAGGCACACTGGGGCGCATTGCGGCTTGATGGGTTTACCAGAGACATTGTCAGATTTTTTGGTCAACCCATTAAGCTGCAGAGTTTACCCATTGACGAGTAAAATCGTTTGGCGTTAGACAAGTGAAAATAAAGTAGAGCGCACTGGGGTGCGTTGTGGCTCAATGGGTTAATATAGCAGAGAACAATATTTAAAAACATTGTCTTTATAGCTTAAGTCAATGTCGTTAATTAATCAAAGTGCATTATTACTATGTGTTTATTTTCCTGTTTATGACTGACTTGTTTATTACACTAACACAAAAGATTGTCCATGTATATAAGCTCTATCCCTCATATATACTGTAAGCCCCCCCCCCCCTTGTATAAGCCCATCAAAAATATAGCCCAGGGTTTATAGTCCGAGATTTACTGTATTCCATGAACCCATTAAGATGTGATGTTGTGATGGATTAACAGACTGTGTGTGCATGTCTCAGTTACCATTAGCACTTACATTACCCTAATTTAATTTCTATTTGACTTCAGTCTCACACCAGGTGTTGGTTGTTCATAGCAGGCCTTAAAATATCTTTTACAGGGCCGTCTGACAAAATGTCCGATGACATTGAGTTTGGGTCGGACATATGTCCGATGACCTTCAGTTCAATTTTGAGACTTGGAAATAAGTGTGAATGCCGACAAAATGAATATCAGCAGAATGTGTTAATTCTGAACGGTAAATGTTGTGAAGATATTAATTAATTTGTTCTTTCATACTTATTTCCAAGCCAAAATTAGCTTGTTTTCCAGAACAGCAGTCAGTAAAAGACTTAGATGACTTAAGCCTGTTTTCCACTTCACCATGCATTTCGCTCCCCGCCCCGTGCTTGACTATGTTAAAAAAATTTCAAGTTCACCTTAAAATTATACAATAGTACTCTGATTTTCCATTTAACATACAAGCCTCTAGCCCTGGGATAGGGTACATTTTGATTTACGTTGGACAAAGCTACAGTTCGGTCGGACACACATACACTCAGGTCGGACAAACAATAAACCTCAATTTCACTTTGGTCAGACAGAATGTCTGGTGGTTTCCTCTCTACGTCGGACAATTTCACTAATGGGTTGGACAATGTCCATGACCGACCAATATTTTAAGGCCTGCATAGCCAGATTAACCCTAACCCGTAGTTAAAATTTATGTATTTCTACATACAGTATCTTTTTGTTTTAAAATTATGAAAAGAAAACTCCTATGGTACTGATCCAGACAAGATGTCTAAAGAAATATTTCCAAATTTATAAGTTTGCTTAATCTAAGGTTAACTTACCGGCTTTCGAACAATCAACCCCTGCATGATGATTTTGTTTGTCAATGGGGAGTGTGTTGGACTTAAAAGGTTTTAACCTTTCATTGAAACTAGATTGTCTGCCCGCATTTTGTGTTAACACATTATTAAGATAAAAGCCAGGCTACTTTCAGTACTTCATGATTTTACTATGTCTAACATCAGAGGGTCACATTTCATATTAACCCTTTTAGATGCAAAGTACATTTTAGTCATCCAGAGGGGGAGGGAGTCCAAGAGTAGAATCTTCTGAGACTGATAATAGTAAGATGTACTAAGACATCAATGGAATGGTGTAGGGGGGGTTAAATTCCAAGTTTTTTTGTATGTCATGCTTGAAGTTTTCAAGGATGGATAGATCGGCTTAGATAAAAATGTCAATTTGATGTTTTGTGTGGCAACTTGAATATGGACATCTCCCTAATTGGAAACAGTTATAAAGTCCTTAGTTTGTTTGTTCAAACTCATGAATACATTTAGCTAGCTACACCACCCACATGATCTGCTTAGTTATATATGTAACAACCCAATTCACTCCAATTAACCCAGTTTTCAGCACTTTCTTAAATTATGTCACCTTTCCTAATGCCGGACAAGTTAATTTGTGTGTAGCTAGATTTTGCCCATGTTTCATGTTGACATATTTAGATACAATTTTCCCTAACACTCCCTACTTTAAATACTTTACTATTGAACTGTGACATCTCATGCTAGACAATTTTACTTATCGGCTGTGGACTGCTTGCCCTCATTTCACCTATTAACACCGAAGAAACAATTTCCTCTTAAATGTTGCCTACTTTCGGTTCTTTCTAGGGGTGTGCAGGACAGAGTATTTCTGCTATCCAGCCAGATACAGGATATGCTGGATAGCTGAAAAATATCCAGCCTGATTCAGGGTATTATTCAAATAATTATATAAGGTTCAGGCATCATTTAAGGTTAAGTACCGGTAATAATTTTATTTGGTTAAAAAGTAAACAGTCTAAAACTAGTAAACATGCATCATTGGTAGCAAAAGCCTCGTTTACATCAGTTAAAAGTTAATTAAAATCCCCATTTTACTCCTCAAGAGCAGTGTCCTGCTCACTAATGGTTATCCAAACTATCTGCCAATGTGCCTTGATAACCCATTAAGCCGAAATGCACCCAAATGGACCCGCCTTTGTTATTTTACTCTGTCAAGCGCCAGACAATTTTAGTCATCAAGAAGAGAGTCCGCGTGCTAGTGGGTTAAATGACTTAATTACATATGTTATATATATATATACACTTAAGCTGTTAGATTGTCCCATTGTATATTAATTTTTTACTTATCTTGACACAGGCTTGTATGTTGGATCGATACAACTACCTGTAAAAATGGTTAAACTTGGCTATGTGATTCAAAGGTTGTGGTTCACCGAGCGATAAAGAAAATGATACAAAGATGGAATGATTGGATGCAAGTTATTTACAGTGTTTCATATGACAGGTATTCTGATTGTGGAAGATGTGGGCTTGCAATATTTTGACAATTGCATGGCTATAAAGTACGAGACAATTAATATAGTACTCCATTACTCTAATTGCCAGAACACTGCATCAGAATGAGAAGTTGTCTGTTACAGTTCGGTTTAGTAAAAGTACATAGTAAAAGTACATAGTCAGCTATGTAAAATGTAATTTAGTCAGTGTCAAATAAATATTTTGTCATGGATAAACTCTGTGCAAATGAGCATGTCTCTAATGTCATTTTACTTTTAATAAGAATATGTAGATGTGTTTTCTAATGTACCTTAGGTTTGCTGTGTTATAGCATCTTTTGTAGGTGTGTTATGTAACACACCTTAGTGTGTTATGAAACACACCTTACAACGTGCTGTAAACATTACAGACCTCTATGGTGTGTTATACAGCACAGCTTTAGGTGTGTTTTAAAACACGCCATGGTGTGTATGAAAACACGCCATGGTGTGTATGAAAACACGCCATGGTGTGTACGAAAACACACCTTTATACAAAACACACCTTAAGGTGTGTTAAAATCTGGACAAGCCGAAAACACACCTTAAGGTGGGTTTTAGAACACACCTTAAGGTGTGTTTAACACACCTTAAGGTGTGTTAAACACACCTTAAGCTGTGTTACAAAACACGCCAAAAGCTGTGTTAAACACACCTTAAGGTGTGTTCTAAAACCCACCTTAAGGTGTGTTAAAATTTGGACAAAAAGGTGTGTTAAATTAACACACCTTTTTTTAGAGTGTATGCTGGCAGTAAATTATTTTTTCTCAAAAGTGCAACGGTATCAGGTATCCAATCTATTGCAGCTACTGAGTATTATGACACATCTACTAGAATAAAGAATAAAATCTTTGGGCAGTGTGTTTTTCACCTGACAAGAGCGTCATGAATATAGTCAATTTTCGCTAATTCGACTAATTATTAGCTGTAATTTGTTAATGCATTTACTTAAATTTTTCGCGTTAAAAACATACAAAATTATTCACTATCTTTCAAATATGGCTGTTTTTTGGATAGAGACTAAGTTATAAATATGCCAGCATTTATGCTAGCTTTATAACATAGAGCAAAAGTCTTGACGCATGTGCCGACTGAAATTGACATGCACGCGTTGCTAATATTATCTGCCGGTATTATCTTTTTATTATTTATCAGTGTATGGAAGCACTGTAAACATACTATAGTACTGATTTTGGTAACTAAAACTATATGCACCGATTTCCTCCGAATGTACACATCTATCACAAGAGAATATTAGAAGAAAGTATATTATACAATTTATTAGAGAGTAATGTTTTTCGCGTGAAAAGCGGTTCATATATAATCCCCGTCATCGCTTGAAGTCGGTCAACGAGTATAATTTCAAGTTTTTCTTCGCTTTCTTAACAGTATATTTATATCGTAAAATCATTACAATCTTAACTTGTTGAATTTGGGGGAGGGGGGAGGGTAAAATCCCCCAAAGGAAAGTCAAGAAATGGGCCCAAATATTTTCGGGCAATATAGACCACAGCTCCTCCAATAGATATATGAATCCCGTACGCCTATGAGTGTACTACTATACATTTATATTGCTCTCATGTGCATAGAGAGACAAGGTACGAAATTAGAATCTATAAACAATCAACTTTAATAGAAACGAATTTCTTTCTTGTTGCTTTGAGCTATTAGGCTATATTAAAACCGACGAAACATGTAGTAAGCGTATATATTAAGTGAAAGTGAAACTTATTCTCAAACAAATAAATTAACCAAGACTGCATGTCGTAATCTCTCTGAAAGGGCGAAGCAGTAACTAAAGGGTGTATATATAGAGGCATCTAACGGCAAGTGATTTAACGATCGCACGGAGGGGTTATTAGAGACCTTACGATTTTAGGACGGCAACGCGACGACGACGGCCAAAACAAACTCCTTCAAATAAATGGTAG